TTTAAGTATAATAACCAAATAAATTGTGGGAGATTGCAGATACCCAAGGTTGACATTTACATACATCATGAGAACCTTTCACATCAGGCGCTGGTAAGAGAAGGTGTAATTTTCCTCAAATTGCTTAATATGGAACAAATCACCATCAACTGATTTCTATAAATCACCCTGAGTATACTTCATTTCAGTCATTGTCTCAAGACCCAGTTTTCCAGTCTCTTGTTTCTTTACTTTTTGAGAGGTTTTATATGTATATATTCATCCTGGTAATCAGGACTTTAGCTACCCATAACCTAAGGTTGAGAGTCTATTGTATTTTCATGTTCCGTCAGTGGGAAAAGTGTTTAACTCTGATCTGTAAGCTTTGTCCGAAATCCTTCCCATCTCCATCTGCCTTCATCTGGAGATGAGGTGGTGCCTGAGCAGCCTCTGCCCGCTTTACACCCCAAAACCCACTTCCAGCACAGCCGGGCCCCCAGAGTCTGGGAGTTCTACCCCCAACTGCACAATCGCAAGTGAAGAAATAGGGAGACTGTTATTCATTTCTAAATTAAAAAAAAAAGAAAGCACTTTACTCTGTTGAAAGTCACATACGTTTCTATGTACCTTGAAGGCTTACATAAGAAAACTATTCTTTAAAAAAAAAAAAGAAATGAGAGATTTCTGTCATTGCTGCAGTTTTCATAGAATGAAATTAGCTTTAAATTATGCTGCTGAATTTCTGTGTCGTAGAGAGTTTAAAAATCTGTTAAAGGAATAACCTGGTACTAATGATCTGATTTCCATTCATATGAGTTAGATTTTAAGTTTATTAGTTATATTATTAATTTTATTAAATTCAGGAAAGCTAAAGCATGTCTTTTGATCTGAGAGAGTAGAGCCTGTCCGTTCACTTGATGTTCAGAGGTATTTCCTGTTCTTGACCATCCGTGCACATCTAACTCAGTTATCGCTTAAGATCTTGGTCTTCTTATTCCTTTGTTGAGAAGGCTTGCCAGTGTTTTTCTTTATTTGTTGCAAAGATTATTCCCAAAAGAAACTGCATAAAAGTATTAGACTTGATCAAACAAATAAGAACTTAAAGAACAAGTTTCTTGTTGTCTGCGGTATTTTCTGTTTTGTTTTTTTGAGAACTGAGCTCATTTTGCATTTGTAAACATGCACATGAAGATGAATTTCTGGTGCCTCCTGAATACACAGTATTAATTCAAAGACTCTCTTCAGCCTGATCATCTTACTGAACATCAGACATGTTCTTCTAGAACATGTCTTAATGAGAGGGTGATTCCCCTGCCTAATATTTTGTTGTGCATAAAATTCCCCTGGAGAACTAAGTTAAGGATGCTGATTCTCATTCTCATAGTTGGGGATGGAGCCCAAATAGCTGGAATATTACCTGCATGCAGGCATTTTTGAATTTTTGATGTGCAAGCTACAAAGAACAGACTTAGAGATTCTGTCTTAGGTTTTCCAAATGCTATCTGGAAATGTAATAAGGAAACACACACACACACACACACACACACACACACACACACAGCATTATCTTACCAGCTTTGGGTATTAATAGGGATGGCACTTCCTTGAATTCTTTCATTACAGACTTATTCTAATGGAGTTTGAGTCAAGACCACACCTCATTTTTTAATCTCTCTCTGATAATTAACATAGAAGACGCCACTGGAATGAGTGCTGAGATGGGGCAAATGTTAGGCAGGAAACAGAGAAGGAACCCTTGGGGATCGCTGCAACATGGCAGAATGGCAGGAGGTTGGGCATACCACAGAAGCAGGTTGCCAGGCTAACCTGTTTTGAATAGGGGCTTCTGAAATGAATCTTCAGCTTGAGGACCACCAAAAATTCACAATCTCTCTACCCGATTGCTGCTACCAAAAATGCAATGAGCCGTTCTCAACCTAAAATGCTAAGGTTCCTGCCGCCGCGTGTGTGTCTGCGTGCACACCAGTCACTTTCAGCTGTAACAAACACGAGGACGGGAGTTTTCCACCCTGTACTGATAAGTCCAAATTGACAGTTTGTTCAAAAACTGTTATTTGGACCAGACTCAGTGTCTACTTGAAAAAAATGTGTCAGGGTGAGATGTGGATGACATATAAAATAACTACTGCATTGCTTTTGGTAAAGGTATTTCACTGTGTATATGCTTTTCTAAAGCAGAAATGTAAGACAAAATTCATTATTCATGCTTTTTTTTTCATAATCAGCAGATAGGACTATGTAATGAGAATTGGTCTTCTGCCATGAGCATAACTCTGAGTCCCTCAATAACATGTTTTCCAGGACCAGGGAATTTATATGCAACGTTGTCTTCACAAAACAAACTTGGAAAAACAAGGCTCTTGTTTGAGAGGGTCCTTGATGTATTGCCAAGGGCTTTGTGGTTTTTAATGAAATGTATATCAGACACAGGTCAGAAACTTAATTATAAAATGGTTGTAATTCTCCATAAGTGGATTGATTAAAATATAAATTTTAATTTTAATCAATTTATGTTTATTTTAAAATTAAACAGAGAGAAACGCTTGTTCTCTTTCAGTGAATCAAGAGCAATCATTCAGGGCTGAACAATGGGAAATGTGGAAAGTATTGTTCTGGTTCGGTACTTGGCTGGTTAGACTTGAAAATCTGTTTAATAAGCACAGGCAAATATATACTCACCGAACTGTTGAATTAAGCATTGCATGTTTTCATTTAATTATGTTTAGGAAACAGTTTAAAATCTCAGTTGATAGGGTAGCTCCACTTTAACTGATGCATTGTTTTGAAATAGCTATGGTCTGGTAGATGATGGAACCTAATACATTTTGGGTCACAGCCTGGAGAGAAGAAATTTCATCTTCCAGTGGGAAACACTGTCAGAGCACCTTTTATTGTATGCGTAAGGCTTTTTAGTATTGTCCAGCTTGAATGATTTAGGAAAATCCTAGATACTGTCCAAACAGAAAATCAGGAGAAGTCTGGAAGACTAGTCAACTGAGTATATACATCATCACTAATTACACGCGGAGCGTGGCCGTCACTTCTCTCTGCCAGCGAGCTGAGAGCTGGCTGTGAATGTGGTTCTGGAGGAAGGAGCGGAGTGGTAGCTGCTCAGGCCGCAGCAGTTTGCAGACTGGGTTCTGCGGTTCTACTGCGGGGAGAGAGAATCATCTGCTGCGAGAGGCATGCGTCTTCCAGCAGTGGTATTCGCCGGCAGTGCAGCATGGCCAAGGCCACTGAAAAGAAGAGAAATAGTTGCACTTCATTTAAACAGTTATCTGACCTGGTTTAGGAAAGTAATACAAGAGGCCTTTGAATAATGCCGTTTGTTCACTTGTTTCATTATAACAGTGAGATGCTCTAGGAACTTAACTTTTGTTTATATCAATTAGCCTGTGGTAGAATTGGTTTTGTTATAGGTTGTTTTGCTTAAAGTCACAGACCCTATCAACGACCTTAAGGGAGAGCTTAGTGGGCTTACAGTACTAGTAATACATCAATATGTATGGTTATCAATAAAAGTTTGGCACTTTCTAATGTAGAAAAAGTAACCTCTGGACATGTTCACCAAAGTGTATACAGAGCCATTTAAACACTGTGGCTTTTTTTTAAACATACGCATTTAATTTTATTTCATCATTTTCATTTAAAGCTCGATGTTATAAAACATAGAGAGACATTTTTAAGAGTTCTGTATCATGGGAATTTAAACACTAAAAATATCCATAGATTCATGGTATATAAATTAAAATCAAACAATTGGAAATGCTTTCAATATGGGAACTATATGATGAAATAAATGGCCAAAGGACTTAGTAGGAGCAATATTTTATCTTGTGCATTATCACTTATTTTCAGGATCTAAAAAAGACCATTGTTTAAATGTTTTAAAACCATTTAAAAATCGTTGAAGTTGACCTTTCAAACTCCAAACTGTATGATATCAACCACTACTGATATCACACTTGCTCTCTTTCTTGGTCTCTCTCAGTTTCATAATAAACTTTCATTTTGGCTTTTTTTTTTTGTCTCAACATGAATGGTCCTCTTTCTCTAAGGCTTTGGGTAGATCACCATTAGAGCCGGTGCTGGCATTTGAATCCCTGAGAAGTTCAAGTTTACTCTGGGAAAAGATAAAATAAATAAGAGTAAAGATACCAGTAAAATTATTTTTAATTGAATTTATTGGAGTGACCAATCAGATTATATAGGTTTCAGGTGTACAGTTCTATAATATATCATCTGTATATTGTATTGTATGTTCACCATCCCAAATCAAGTCTCCTTCCATCACCATTTATTCCCCCTTTACCTTCTTTGAGAGAGACTATATTTCTAAGCAACAGAAATTCCGTATCACAAGAAACCACGTCCAGAGGGTCAAGAGATAAATCAGTATCTGAGAAAGATAATCTTTTCACATGGGCCAAGAAGTAGCTCCCTTGATGTTTACCAAAATGAGGATAGCCAATATTCCATTATTTTTGCTAAATTTTTTTAATGACTGTGGTTAAAATCCAGAGCTTGTTTGTATAGGATCCATCAGAAAAGCCAATATGTTACAATTCTTGTTTTACTATCCCACCGAGTGTATTCCAGGAGAAAGATGCAGAAGTAGTCAGAGAAGTGGTCCAGTTGGACCTGCACTGCTAACCAACAGATTTTCCTAAAGTACTAATCCAAGGAGTATCTTTCTTTGCTTAACATCCTGTGGTAATTTCTCCCATAGATTCAAATTCCTTGAGTTGATACAAAACATTCTTTATGATCTGGCCTTAGTCCTGGCGTTTACTCCATTCTCCACGATCAACGGTTTCCTATGTGTCTCTCCAGCGATAGGATGAACTCACAGAGGCTAGGAATTGTATCTCACACGTTTTAGTATTCCCAGTGTTAGGCCCTTGAAGAGCCCCAGAAAGGATTGGCTGGATGGTTGACTAGATCAATGAGAATTTTGTGATACCACTAAGCCCTAAAGTGACTGTTTTTTCTTCCCCAAGGACTTTGGCATTATGTTCCTACATCACCTGGTGTCTATTTTCTTGATTACCTTTTCATATGTCAACAACATGGCCCGAGTAGGGACCCTCGTTCTCTGTCTTCACGATTCAGCGGATGCTCTCCTGGAGGTAAAAGCTTTTTTCATCCTTTAGAGTACAAAATCGAGAATTCTAAAAGTCCTGAAGATTATCACTTCTATGTTATGCTAGATGGTGCTGGGGACAATAGTATATGACAACTTTGAAACTGCAGAGTATTTCTTTGTAGGTGAAATTGGTAAAAGTGAGACTTAAAATTAGTGTGTAACTTTTTGTATAAAAAATGTTCATCATGTCAGCATTCTTTATCAATAGAATAGTGAACACCTTTATTATTCCACACTTAAGTGAATGTTTTACATTAGGAAAATTATTACTTGTATAAGTTTTATTTCTGGTGTTATAAGTTACATACTGATTTATCCACAAAGTGTACATAATTCAGTTTAGTTATTAATGGGATTTGTACATCCTGATGAAATCAATTGGTGGTCATAGTTTTTATTGCCAGTATATGTATTATCCTAATTTTTTACAGTGAAAAGTGTATACACATAGCAAATTATACATAAAAATTGTTTTCCATGCATAGAAGTGTAAAAAAGTCTGTGAGGATATATTGGTTTCACTTTGATTAACTTTCTAAACCATTATCACTTAGAATTATTAAAGTAGCAAGAAAAGAAAAATGCTTCTAGCATATATGAAAGGATAAAATCCGCAGCAAAATTTTGGTGTACTGTTTGCTCTTAATTACACACTCAGTAGTGTTATATAATTAAATAAAAGTTTCTTCACTTTATATGAAGACATTTATGTAACTGGTCAAAAATAAACTTACCAGAGTACAAATTCCATGTAGAAGTGGGTCTTAGAATCTGTATTCTGATTTTTCATTCCTGTTGACCCACAGTTCTGCCCCTTTGAAGCATTTACTGTCATTGAGAATAGAGAATAAAGGTGCCCTCAATTACTGATCTGTTACTGCAATATAAGCAGAAATTTCCCACACCATAAAATTGAATCTACTATAAAGGCAGTTAGTAAAGGTTTGAAGTAGATATCACACTTTATTAAAAAACTTGGTTCCTATAAGTCTATGAAACAGAAAAGTCATCCTAATGGGCTAGGATATGTCAGATGATAGTTTGGCACTAAGATTTTTAAGTGCTTCAAGCTAGGCTCTAGTCCACATATTTTTTAAAGGAGATGTATAGTTAGTATAAGGGCAGTCCCCTGGAAATCAGTTACCATTTGGTTAAATCCTAAGCATGCTTAAAAGTAGAAATTTATACAGCAGTCTACAGTTTTGAAATCAGTCCTGGACGATCTGCCAGCTTGATCACTGTGAAAATGGCTGGCGTGACGCTTGGCAGAGCCACGATTCAGAAAGTGTTGGTTGAATCGCCATGTACTACTTTAATCCAGAAAAGAAAAATCATCCGGAAATCCCAGCCATGTGGCTTAAAAGCCAATGTTCTTCATCACCTGGATCCTCTTTGCTATTATAAAATATTGCTCGAGTCCATCCAAATAATGAGATATGTTAACTGTCAATTCTTTGAAGTGGGGTCTATGGCTTAGATGTGTCCAGAAAATTGATGCTTAATGTCTTTTTATTGAATACTGGTGAATGAATACAAAAGAACAACTACATGACTACCTAGCGAGAAGGAGGCAGAAGATGCTTTTCTTCAATATAATTTGTGGTCTCATACCCAAAATATTCATGAAATTAAAAGCTTCCACTCAGATAATTGATAGTTCTCCTTAGGAATATAGTTCTCTGATAGCTTGGTGTTTTACTTAAAGCTATTAAATGATAGCTTCTGTGGATACTGTCAACAATCTTTTCAAGTTTGACCCAGCTAATTTAACTTTTCAAAAAGTAGAAAATAGTGTGATGAATTCAGAAAACATCTTCAATTTATAACCCTGGGAGGGGGGTGGTGCTTATGAATTTTTGGTGAAAATGCAAAAAGAATGATCAAGCAAAATTATGTTTTCAGTGTCACCTGTTTTTACTTAAAATCATCCATAAGTAGTAGATGGTAGAGAGACAGATGTGATTTATTTCCTAGACTAATTTATGATAGAAAAAGTAGTTACTTAAATCACTACCATAAATATTAGAGTACTTCTTACAGACACTTTTCAACATTAGTGGCTTTCATCTAGAAGATGACCCACTAATGTAACGTTGAAAATTATACCTAAATGGATTCATTGAAAAGACATGATCTTGACACATTCTCCATTTCTAAATTTTTTGAGAATAAGCCAAGAAACTGTCTCCCCAGAATATTCCTCATGCCTGTTAAAGAAAACCTAAAATTTTAAGTAGAAAGGGGATAAAATACAGAAAGGCTTCATATATTCTGTATAAATTTTGTGGTCTCAGTGTTTGGAACTCATTAAAAGTTTAAAGGATTACATAACACTTTCTATTTTGATCTGTTATACCAAATTCCTATTCTGGTATGTTTGGCTTGCTAATATCATCCATAATGCAAGAATTTTCTTATTTTCCTATTTTTCTGAAATCAACCATATAATTGAATTTTTCAGGTTGCTGAATATTTTATTAAATCTGTGACAGTCAGTAGTTCTACTTGTGGCTAATGCTGCATTTCACTTGACTTATGGGTAATTTACAAACACTGATGCGTGATGCATGACATTTCAAAGTAGCAGGCAGTTTTACGCATCTGGTAAGTTATAACTTAGAGAAGACTCATGCATATTGAAAGAAGCTTTTTATTTATCAATTTAACTAAATTAATATGTCATATTTCTCCCTTTCATAGGCTGCCAAAATGGCCAATTATGCCAAGTTTCAGAAAATTTGTGATCTCCTGTTTGTTATGTTCGCCATGGTTTTTATCACCACACGACTGGGTATATTTCCTCTCTGGTAAGTATGTCAGTCTTCTTTCTGATAGAGCCACCCTTCCAAATAGCCTTCGTGAGTCATTTTCCTTTTGAATTTACTCCAAATACTTTGTTTAAAGGAAGTGACAGAGTAACATTGTAATAACTATCTATGGTGTCCCCTGAGTATTAGTCTTATTGGGGTGATCACTTTGTAAGTTACATAAATGTCTAATCACTATGTTCTACATCAGAAACTAATGTAATATTGTATGTCAACTATAATTGAAAAAAATTTTTTAATTAATAAATGATATTATTTTGAGGGGAAAAAGTGAGGGAGAAAACTCAAGGAACAGCTTGATTTCCTCTTCCAGGAGAGGGCTGCACTCTTTGCTGATGTTCCCCGCAGGTTAGCGAGAGAAGGATGTGGTTATGTAGGTTCTGAAGCCGCAGAAAGCTGTCTGCCATTTTTGGATCCAGTCTAGAATATGATTCAAAACCTCAGCTGCGCAAGTTGGAATTAATAAAGGAAACGTGGTGTTGAAACCTGTTTCAGTTACTAGAGTGTACTGGTATTGTTAGTATTCAAAATTGTAACATGAATGACAACAACAAACAGTGTTTTATATGCTTCCATTAATACTGTGGAATGAGTGGAGAGTTCCTTGCGGATTAGGGCATCTTGGAATTGGGAGGGACTCTGGGTGACTGGCTCCACGTTCTTCTCGCACTCCCACTTCCCGGGGTAGGAATCTTTATCAATTTTCCTGATCAGAAGCATTGCTTTAGAAGTCAAGGGAGAAATAGTCTTTTTTATGAAACAGAAACCTGGGTTCTTCTGACTTCTAAGCTAGAGGTTCTTACTCTGGTTTAAAACCCCTTGAAATTGTATGAAAAACATGTATTTGTGTGCAATTTTTTTTTCTTGGGTGGGGAGGGCCCATGATTTATCCGAGTGTCAAAGAGATCTGTGAGCACTACCCTCCTTAAAAACGAGCCTTTTGGAAAACAAGTATACCCTACCACTTCTTGCTGAAAACTCTTAAAAATGTGAAGACCTCTAGTAGACCCTCTATAAGCTTTCTCTTTACTGGAAGGCATCTTCAGTCCCTTCGATCATTCCAGCTTGTTGTTCTCCTTTGTTTCTCAGAATTCCTCTTGTCTTGATGCCCCAAGTGGGGACTGGCTGGTGCAGATGCGAGAGAACTAAACAGGCTGTATTAGAACGGCCCTTCCAGCTTTGAGAAGCGCTTTCCCTGTACTAGTGAGGACCTGGTCCACACCTGAGCTGCCTCCAGACCAGGTCTTCCTCATCCTCAGTTTACTTCATTTTTATATATTTTTGTTTCTAATTATGAGTTATTTGTATGCTTCCTTATACAAACTAATTCATTCCCGTTAGATTTTATCATGCTGTTTTCAAATATGCTATTCCTATAACTCCTAACATTAGGGTCTTCTGAACTACATCCAGTGCTGTATTTATTCTTTCCACCTTTATGCTACTTGCATGTCTGCCTTTCATGTGTCCCCCAGCTCACTGAAGACAAAAGTTGCCTCAGATGAACTCCTGATACACTCCTAAGGAATGTCTTTAGGCTGACCTCTGTTTCCCAACCACCAGCCCTTCTTTACGATTTTTCTATTTGTTAAAGTCTGAAAACTGCTGTCACCATGCCTGCCGTTTCTCCACATTTCTGAGGTATAATAAAAGACTTATGAAAGGTCAAAGGTCTCATGAAAGTCAAGACTTACTCTTGATTTTAGAAGACGTGTTTAAGACATCCTCTTCACATGAAGAGGCAAGGTGAAAAAGGAAGATGGGGACCATCTGGCATGACTGGGTTTTAGGAGACCTCTGTTGGCTCCTGGCGCTTTATTTCTCGGTACTCACCCTCCTGTGTTTGATGATGCATCTGCAACACTGAGCCTGCCGGTCTAAAAATCCCGGTCTCCGCCTTTTCCACGTTGCGTAGGTGTGGACTGTTAACCTCCCAGGATACTACCCTTTCTAATGTACTGAGTGAATGTACTGGGCACTTACTCTGTAACCCGCGCTGGCATGGGAGCTGACATTCAGTTAGACAATAGGGCTTTCCTTGGAGCACTGGAGCAGAATCCCTCCAGGTCCCTTCACTATTCTGGTTTATAATTTCGGGGGCCTAGAGATGACTAGTTTATTGTGGCCATTTACTGGAGATAAATAATACAAGTGGATTGTCAGTATTAAATCGTTTGGTTCAGGTGTATTACAGAGTTCTGTCAGCTAAGCAAGCGTAGATAGAGTATGTCTGTGACAGTCACTGGCTGCTGGGAGGAAGGTGCTGGAGGCAGTTGGACTTCAGTTCTAACAGGCAATTTCATACACGTATTTCTCCTTCAATATGCGTGCTTCTCCTGGAAGAAGAAACAACACTATTCTCTGTGCTACCTACTTCTTTTAGTTTTTAATCCAGTCACCTTGGAATCACCAGCTATACCTTCCATGTTTTTCCTGACTGTATTTGTGTTCTCAGGTGAGCCATCTGAACGTCTGTAGTTTGAGGGTTTAATAGCACTTGGTTCATGCTCTGCTGCGTCTTCGGTCCATCTGTGTCTTGCCTCACAAAGACAGCATGTATGTGAGTAGCCTTTTCAGAACCATGCACTGCCCAGACCCCTCTTTTGGTTACAGTATACCCTTCTAGAACAGCACTATCCCATAGAAATACAATTCAGACTTCATTGTCATTTTAAATGTTCTGGTAGCCACATTAAAAAAATAAAAATGTGACACCCATTTGTTTTCTTTAACTCACTATATCCAAAGCAGTATCATTTTAACATGTAATCCAGATTAAAAATTAAGATACTTAAAAAAAATTAAGATAATTGTATTCTTTTATTATGTACTGAGTCTTCAAAATTGGGTATGTGTTTCACGTTACTGCAGCTATTCAAAGGTCTGCATAAGTTAGCCTTTGCATTGTAGTTGGGTGGTCAGTGATCTGATCCTCTTTGACAGTAGGCCTATCCATCACTGCAAACTGTTACCATTTTCCTCAATTTGCATGTGGCTGTCATCAACTCTATCTATGTGTAAGCCCTAAAGTTCCTAACAATTTTCCGTATTTTATGAAGCTGTGTCTTCAATGGGCATAGATTGTGCTCAGTCTCATTCCAGCATCTCTTACAATGCCTTGCTCCCAGTGGCTACACAATAATACTTGTTGAGTGAATTAGGTACTTTTTATTCTAGGTGGTCTCTCATCTGTTTTCTTAGTTGAGCTCCTTAAATCATTGTGAAGTGAATAAGTGCGGTCTCTCCCTTATTAAACAGAGAAAACCGATTCATTTAGTCAGTGATTTACCTGGTTTCTCTGGACTCTGGTCTCCTGCCATCCATTCAATTCAGCAAGTACTTACTAAGTTCCACTTGTTCTTCTTGCAACATAATAAACATTATCTTCTTTAAGAAGCGGGCCATAAAAAGCTGTTGATAAAATATATGTTTGGTAGTTGTTACATAAAAAGGAGTCATTTAAAAAAGCTTTTCCTTATTCTGCCCCAGCCACGACGCTGTATTATAAGCATCATCATCTCTCGACCGGACATTAGGATCTGGTAACAAAAAGGGCAAGTCCACAAAGCTCTTGAAAGGGAAGGAGCGTGGTGCAGTCAAAGGAAAGATGGCTTGCTCTGGGCCACGCTTCTCCCCTCACTGTGTGTCTGAAGACCAGGTGTCCAACTTCTCTGCACCCATGTCCTCATCAGAAAAATAACAATAATAGCAGTTGTTCCACCTACCTTACCAGGAAATGTTAAGGATCAAATGAAATATAGTCTATAGCAGTGATCTATAACTGTAAAGCACTTTATAAATATTAAGCACTTTAAAAATAAATTCTTAAAGATGGAAATTCCCATTGTGGTCATGTGGTCTAAACCTTTTTTTTTTTTTACAGTTTATAACTTCCAATTAGTATAGATTAATGAACCATAACCATAGGTATTTTGAAATAAAATTTTAAATTCTCTCTTCAGTGAATCAAAAAATCTTGCTTTAATCATTCTGTTCGCAGTACACAATGAGCATGCACAGGGTTGTCGCCTTCCCTCAGATCCTAGGCGGCCACCCCTGTCCTCAGCCACCACAAACAACCAGTGCTACTCGCAGAGTCTCACAGCATTTTTTCTCTGTACCGCAGGCCGACGCTCTAACCGCTGAGCCAAACCGGCCAGGGCTCACAGCATTTTTTAAAATGCAAGTATACGTCAGGCTAGTTCTTCGCTGTAGGTCACAGACTCAGAAGCCATTACCCAGCCAGCAGTCGGCATACCACTGTTGCCAGAGCCTCTTCCCATGGGCTGGTGATGACTTTCCGCATTCCCATTCATGTCCCACCAAATGCCATCCCCCAGGCTACAGGACAGTTAGTCAGATACGTGCCTGAGATGGTCAGTGGCTATTCAGGCAGATGCACGGGACTTCTCAGGATGTTTCTGTTCTCTCTCCTACAAAATAGGGGAATTATTTGCTGATTTGTACTTACTGGAGGTTTCTGCAATTATAAAGAAAAAAACATTGCAGAGGCTTCTAGACCATTCTTACCATTTTTCATAATGAGATTGGAAATTCATCCAGAGGCATATGGTAGTGTGGCTATTACATGCTTTTCTGAATATCTGCTAAGATTACTCTCAGAGTTCACAAATTTGGAGAAGCTGGTTTTTTTATTTGATTGGTTGGTTTTTTGTTCTCTGGAATCCCTTGGTAGATTTTCTCTGAAATTATTCTTGGTGCTGGTTTGTGTTAAATATACTTTAAAGATACAATATGAACCTGAAATCTTTGGCTGTTAAGTATTTGTCAATAATAACAGTTTGGCAGTGATAATACATATATTACTATCAGTAAGTACCTTTTTAAGGTGGGATAGAATTGAGTGAAAATAATGTCTATTGAGATATTTATCTCTTCATGTGAACATAATAATTTTATTAAAATTTCAAAATTGAAGGGCTAGACCAAGAGTCAATAAACTATGGCCTATAGGACAA